GAGCCTTCGTCTAACATATATTTAGAAGTTCAAAAAACGATAGAAATATTATACAAGGAATTTAAAATGGTATTTTCGGAAACATACAAATTGTTTTGCAGGCAAACGAATAGCTGACGGCGTTGTTTTATATGTAAATAGATAAGTTGGCTGGGTACCTTATGAAAATTTGTTTTTATATTTTTTCTAATTTTTTGGTATTCATAAATCAAGTGGGAACAATTTTATTTATTAGATAAATATATCAGTTTCTTTTTTTTGTTACTTAATTTTATTGTAAATACAATTTTTAAAGTTAAAGTTTAAAGTAATTTTTTAATTTACAGTTAGTAGGGCTATTGGCGAAGATCTCCATAATAAAAAATGACGGTGAAATTTATTCCTATTTATTATTTGAGAGCGAATTAATAAAATATCTAAATAGTTGCGTATTATTTTTTATAAAATTTAAATGAAAATCCTGCTCTTGATTTATAATATTGTAAATGCAACTAAAAAATTTTTTTGACCTTGAAAATTAAAAATTTTTTCCGTAGTTTTTATGAGCCGAACTTTTTCCGGAGGCCAAAAAATCTTGTATTCACAACAATTTTCTGTTTTGACCGAGACCAATGTAATTAGTGTAATTTTCTTGTATTAAATTTGAGAAGTGTTTATTTTTAAAATTCCGAAAATGATATTATTTTGACACTTTATTTTATAGAGAAAAGTCAATATTGCTATACATCTGATTGTTTCTAGACGAAAAATGACCGTTAGGGAGTTGTTCATTTCTGTACTGCAAAAGTTTTTAAAAGCGCGATTTTTAAAAAACAAAAAATATGTATTAACAATTTGTTAGTACAGTTATGTGTCACTTGTGTTAGGTTAGGTGGGATTTCGATGATGATCGATCGATGATCGATAATGATGATCGATAATGTTGATCGATAATGATGGTGATGATGATGAAAAGAACATTGTTAGATACGAAACAAATCGCATTAATCTAGTGATATTCAACCCTTTTAACTGTTTTAAAATGTTTTTTTTTTTCTAAAAGTTTGTATATAATTTTTCTCTATTCCATAGTGAGTACTTTTAAAATTAAATATTCATCTCGTTTACCTCTGTCTAAAACTGATATTCTATTTTCTATTAAATAATCTATTAAGATAACTTTAAGTTTTGTTGAATAATCAATATGTTACGTACTACTCTTTTGCAATATGACGAAACTGAAGACGAATACTTGTACTTTTGCATAATATTAATAGACCACGCTGTCACACATACCATCCATCACGTTCAATGTTCACTAACGACCTGAATAGAGATGTTCTTCAATTACCTTCAAGTTGATGGTTATAGCCTTTCATTTACGAGCAATATTGTAGCTATCTGATTTTTTCTGGGCGGTAACGACGGCGTAAATTTCCAAAAAATGCGTAATTGTCGGTTTGGCCTTCTTAAAGGCCGTCAATTAAACATTTTACAACTGGGCATCGGTATAAATCACTTTTCACTATTAGGGATACGTTCGTGGTGAAATATGACCAGAAGGATAATGTTATTACATAACATTAAATCGAAACTGTAGCAAAAAGATTGATGTTATTGTTTTCACATTTTATGAAAATTAAAAGTTTACCAGTGAATTTTTTTATTTCCACAGGTTTCGCACTAGCATGATAGAAAACACATTACTTAAATAAGGTGGACCAAAAATATGTATGTTGTAATTCTGGATTTATTTTGCGTTATTTTAGTTTCATATTTTTTTATGTGTAGAAAAAGATTGTTTGACTCAATGGGATTTGTTAAAAATCGCTTTGCTTCGTATCCTCACCGCTAGATGGCGGTTGGTTTTCAGAAAACTAACCATTTTTCGTAATTTTCTTGAAAATTATAAATGAAATTATATATCCATTTTTCATTACTTGTGAGATGACAAACGAAGGAATATATCGGTGAAAACGACATGTCGATATCTTTTTGGTACTCCTCAATCGGCAACACGCTGTATAAAATTCCTTTGTTCGTTATGGAATTAATTTTAGGAAAAACAGACGATCGCCAGTTTCTCTTACTCCGCCTTTTTGTGTTTGGGTTAATTTAAAAACAAATGTGTACGAAAACTACTTCATTATCATAAATAAACTCTAGCTGGATGGTGTAAAAGTTTTATTACACTTTTGAATTACGCCAAACGTGCCCGGCATTAAAATTCTTATAATTCATTTAGCTGATGTTATTGTCTCACAGGCAGTAAAAGTTGGGTGTAAATGTATTATGTTTGTTAAGACAATTATTATTAAGTGCAAGAAAAAAGTATAGACAAGACTTTAAACCATCACGACTGGTGCTACATTTCAACATAAATTACAAAGTTTGGAGTCGTCGCTGCTAAGCAAAAAGCAGAAAAGTGGATTTTTTTCGTGGTTATGGATGTACAGGGTTAGTCACTATAATCTGACAACTTATTTTAGTTTATTATTGAAATTACAAAAAAGTTTTTAATTTCACTAAATTAAAGAAATTTTTTTTTTAAAGGAACACCCTATATATTAGTGCATATTTAGCTTCGTTAAATTTTTATCTTTTCAAAAATATATAATTGTTACTGTTTCTGAACCAAACACTTCAACTTCAAATTTTTCGTTCTCATTAAACATTATTTCTTTGTTAAAATAGTTCGTTATAGGAAATAAATTAATGATGATAAATAAACTTCTGTCATAGTCATATTTTGTACGGGGCATTTTTTATAATGCGATCATTTTTAGAAAGTTCAAACTTGATTTTCTAAAATTTTTCAAATGGAACACCCTGTATTTTATTGTTCTATTTTATTCACATATCAGTCCACTTCAACTTTTATTAAGCATGTTCTATATCTAAAATTGTTAGTTTTTAAGATATAGCAACATTTCTTAATTTTTATCATTTTATAGAATACCACAAATAAATATTAAATAATAAAATTAACTCAAAATGGAGTGATAAATTATGAACTGACAAGTTGATACAATGTGACAGTTTTTTCCGAAGCAATTTCGTGCGACGGAAAATAATAAAAATTAGGTTTTTCCAGAAATATTGCTATATCTTAAAAACTAACAACTTTAGGTGTAGTTCTAGTCTTAATAAAAGTTAAAGTGGAGTGATATGTGAATAAAATAGAACAATAAAATACAGGGTGTTCTATTTGAAAAATTTTTGAATATCAAGTTTGAACTTTCTAAAAATGATTGAATTATAAAAAAATGTCCTGTATAAAATATCGATATTAGCTAATATAGGAGCCTTCGTCTAACATATTCTGTCTATAACTCTGTCAAATATTTTTGCTCCAAGTGTTAGTAGTTGAAAGTTAATACAACTTCTTCGAACTTAGCAACCTCGCATTAAAATGTTAAACTATTGCCATATTGCCATATATAGAATTTTGTCAGAAATCCATATGTTTAAAAATATACAGGGTGTTCCATTTAAAAAATGTAATATTTGGCGTGTCCCGTTTAACTAATCGCCCTGTATGTTTCTAATTAATGTTGTCCTTTAGGTTTTTTGATTTTGTACAACTTTTATATAAACTTTTTTTTCTGTATTATGAATAACAAGGGAGTTACTTTACTTTCTCACACTAATGGCCCACCCTGTATATTTCTGAAAAGAGAAAAATTTAACGAAGCTAAGCATGCACTAATATTTAGGGTGTTCCATTTAAAAAAAAATTGTACTTTAATTTCGTGATTTCCATTATTCAATTGTTTTTTCTAATACTGTATTATAAAAATTCATAAAAAAGCTAAATTTAAAAACTTTTTTGTAATTTCAATAATAATCTCACTATAAGTTGTACATTATAGTGACTAACCCTGGACAATGTGTCCCTAATTTCTCATGGAATCCGTAAATAGTACAATTATTTTTTATTTAGTCATATTTCATCGTAATTTCTCAAAATAATATTAATGAAATTTTTTACTGAAATTTCGAAATTGTTTTGACAGCTGCAAATGCGCAAACCCACACATTACATCATCTTACTCGGTATAATTTAAAATGGTATATTTTATATTTCTTTTTTTTGTACAAATATTTTGAAAAAAAACGTTTTTTAATGCGAAAGACTGCCTATTTTTTTTTTTTTGTAAAAGCCTTAAATCACCCTATATGTATTATTTATAGATTTTCTTATACATTATATTTAAACGAAGATTTTGGATAATTTGAAATAAAAGCAATGTCGTGATTTTTTATAAATATATTTACACATTTGTTTACAAAAAAAAATGTTTAAAAAACTAGTCCATTAGCTGTCTAGAAATTAACAAAAAAATATCTATGTACATTATTAAAATTATGTATACAGTTATCCTTTTTGTCTTAGTCCATAACTTTCATGGCAATAATTACAAACAATAAATTATCTACACTTCATTAAACTAAATACTACATTTATTTTTCAAAAGATCATATCACATATTTGGTCATCATCTCAGTCGAGCCTTAAGCTATGATTACATTGCAAGGGCGTTATTTAGCAGTGTAAACACAGCCTCACTATATCAATATATATTCGCATTCAAAACTCTTATTACACTTATAACTAAAAGCATGTCGATATCATATGCGTATCAAGAGCTACAATATCAACTCGCTCAACTATCTGAAAAAGAAATCAAAATTAGAAGAGTGTCGGACAATCGAACGCGATTTAAAACCGTTTGTACTTAGCGCATCCGGACTTTTTTCATCATCTGAAGGACCTGAAGTCCTGGGAAGGGACATGTCGGGTAAAAGTTGTGACAACCATTTCCGTCGACTCCGTTGATTAGTTGGCCCATGTGAGCCGCGAAATGGTACTTAGAGGTCAACTCAGCGGTGGTACTGATGGAGGTGTCCCTAAAACACGAGAAAAATATTGAGATTCCCTGATGTACCATGTCTAACCAAACCACCACCGTGGAGCTTTAGGAATCATACATTTAAACGGTATTGCTACGCCACTGCCATGCAGAATACACTGCAGTTAGACACACACTAGTGCGTAAAGTGAATTTGTTATAAACTAATTTTTACTTTACGCACCAGCACGAAAAAACTCCGTACCAATGCGTAAAATGATTTTTATACACTAGTGTTTAGTTTACGCACCAGTGCGTAAAGTGTATTTCTACACACTAGTGTTTACGCGCTAGTGCGAAGAAGAGAGGGAATTTTAACTGTGTTTCCTTTTTGTGAAACCAACCAATACTATATCAGCGGTTCTAAAAATGTTTCTTCATATTATTGTGTCAAGTCCAGTACTATTAAACAATATATTCTATTTGCAAAATTTATTTGACTTTACTCTCCAAGATTGTGAACATCGCATGTAATGAGTCCATAATGCATTCGAAAGGGATTGTTTTGGTTCCTATTGTTATTTAATGTAAGAGAAAACGTGGATGAAAAGGCTACTCTCTCTGCAATGGGAGAAGCGCTATGTCGTCACATAACAAAACAACGTCCATCCGAGGAATTCCAGCCAAAATATCCTTAGGACATATTATATAACGATGTTTATAATCTTATTAACATTATACGTTGAACTCGTTTTGGATTGTGAAACGGAAAATATTACAGAACTATTACGGCACAGTGAAAGTTGAGCGCAGGTATATTTCCATAATTACTTTCAACCGTACTCGCTTGTACAGAGGGTACGTGCCTGTTGGTACTTCCTTTGTTTGCAGAAACTTTAATGTCAAGTTTCTGGCATTTATTTGCTCGCTATCCCAGTCCTTCAAAAATATCACCTTAACAAATGTCTCGTAAATTGACGTACAAATGTTCATTTTGCAAATTTTAATCAACAGAGGAAATGATGTAATTAATTAATTAGTAGATATTCGTTTTCACAGTATAATTAAATAATACTTAGACTTTAGTCTCAAGGTGTGTACGTTATTTTTGCACTTCGTGGTCTAAAATAAAATAATAATACTAATTTTTGCACTCTGTGGCTTGAAATAAAAGAGATTATTAATTAAAACTATATACAGGTTGTCCAAAAATTAATTCAACAAATTGTGGTCACAGATTCTTAAGACAAATTTAGGGGACCTGTATTTTTTATTTTTGCCATGTGAAATCCGCTCCTAAGAATAGTTTTTTTTTTGGTTCACAGGGGTTTTATGACATGTGGAATTGATAGTGATATGCTTTTTGGTGGGGAACCCCCTTAAGACACTTTTTCGTGGCCCCCCCTTGTCTTTGGAGCAAACAAATTTGGTCACATATTTGAATTTCTTAAAAATTATTAGTTCGCTAGAAAGCCATTCAATTTAGAAACTTTTTTGTCTCTTGATATTTTTTTCGTAAAACGCATTCGATGACATTTTGACATTTTTCTCGAAAACATTGCGGGGACACCCTGTATACTAGTTTTGACGTCGTCAGAAACGTCATATACAGATACCATGTTATAATATGACAAACTACCTTAACAATCAATTACAGTGCTCCAATTAAATAAAAATAGTAACAGAAATTGTGACAAGTAAATAAAGTAAAGTACTGAGGATTAAAGCGGCACTTTAAACCCATGAAACACAAAAATAGGGTATATACTGCAGAACTGCAATGCACTTTAATATTTTAGTATGCAGTACTCTGTTTTCTCGACACATAAACTGCTTATAAAACGTTTTGATTTTTTAAGACTAAATTCCAGTGAAGATACTTACCTAAGTAAGTTTAGGAGGGATTTTTCTGAATCTGTCAGCTTTTCTTTTTGTGGCGTCGCTGTCAATTCGCATATCAGCTTTGGCAGACAAGCATTTTTTATAGTTTTCAGCAGCTTAGATCTAGACTTTGCGCTCCCTAAAAAATATATGCATATCACAACGTAAATATAGTAATGATGAAACACATAACGACTACATTTGAATATAGTTTTCTATTTAAACAATACAATTGATTCACTGATGAGGCAAAAGTGAAAATGATGTTTCAGTTGTCGTTACCTCACCGTCGACGTCGATAGAATCTTAAGCAACCCATTTTCAACAACATTAAAATGTATAAAAGCATTCTGGAAATCATATTTGATGTCCTTCCATATTTTCAAGTAATTTCCACGTATTTTACTGGAGTTTATTTTCCAAATGGCCTAATAAAAACCGAATTCCGTATAGATTAGCGAAAATACAGTTCATATGGATTTAATAACCCTTAATAAAACCACTTTATCTAGACCAACTCGTAACTCAGAAAAGACTATTTAAATTTGAAGATCTTTATTACAAAAAGGTTCCGAAGGTATTTTCCCTATTTTATTGTTTCTCTAAAAACGGCACATTATAAAATATATTTACTGCGGCATCCTCACTTTAAACGAAACAATAAAATAACTGAGATACTGATCATAAGTTTTAAAATCTTTAAATTAATTCATCGAAATCTCTAACCCCAATATTCTACCAAGGCGCTATAGCGTACATTTTTATTGTTTTTATTCGTTATAGAGGGATTAAAAGTAACACTTTATATCCTGAAACTTAATATTAAAACAACACTTGTAGGTATCTAGAAAGTAAGTGAATCTTTTAATCACAAGAGTGAAGTTTGATATTATACAACAAACAATTTAAATCGTATTTGTAAATATTCGTTTAATTATGAAGGGGAGAGAAGGGGAGGGGGGTTAAAAGTGACACTTTTTTTATTGAAAGTACATTTATGATCAAGGGAGTTTAATCATGTGTTATTGGCATTAAGTCGGCAAGGTTGGATCAGAATATTTAATTAATCAATCCGCTGTTTTACGATTTGAACAGATGCCAAGTTTAGAAATTATATCTGTTCAATGACATAGATACTCAGCCAGTTTTTTATTGTATTTCAATAACATTTGATCGTCTTTTTATGTAAGCGAAATTAAAAAGGAAAAATTATTCGTAAATGGTTTTATTTACACATATTTTACTACAAAACCTTGCTGCTGTGAAAAATGCTAGTTAAACCTACAAGCAAATTAACATATTTGCATTCTTAAAAATTCTACGTACATATTATCAAATTTGTTTGACCCTAGGTATTTTCTCTAGATTTATTTATACCTTTTATAGTTTCAATTGGCAAGAATTTTGAAAAAGTAACAGGTCTTGTAAAAAATTAAATAAAAAAAGCACACAACATTCCAAGACCCATTCGTTTGTGGACACCCTGTATATTAAGGAATGGAAGCTGGTTAGTTTTGGAACAATCAGTAGCGTTTTTCTCAAAAATGGCGTGTTTTCAGCGGTTTTGACAGAGCCAAGTCATTTTGTAAAATGAAATTGTAAACAGCCTAACCTCAAAAATGTCACAGATGAAGGTTAATTAGTGACCTCTAGCAGAGGGTCAATGTATTCAGTACCCCCAAACACTGTCCCTATCAAATTTCAACGCAATGCATTCTTTTATGAAGATTGTAAAAATATTCTTTGAAAAACAAACAACGATAGGCCTATGGGCACCTTAAAAAACTCGTAGCAGGCTTAGGAATATTTTTCCTTCATTTGTTTTTTAATTACTATGTTGATGACCTTTACATCTATAAATCGGAACATCCTGTATATATTTTATAAGAAATCCCTTAATTTGTAAAAGATACCTTATGTACTATTTGTACCACTGTTTGTAGTTTTTTTAATAAAACTAGTTTCACTAATCATAAATATTTTTATAGTTTTGGAAACAATAGTGTCGTGTGCCTATAAAATCATAGCACTTATGGGCTATTTCGTATTATCAAATAATACCCAAGGTTGTAGCAGTTGAAAATTACAACCCACATTCCTTTTCATCATTACGATTAAATATATAATTCAATTTTATAATCGAGATAAAATTGCCCGGCTAGACCCTTTACATTCGATTCCGTGATATTTATTAGAGCACATGTGACCTTGAATCTTTCGTTTGTACCTTATCAACAATATGTTTCAGTTTTAAGCCGACTTTTGAGCCGTCCTTACCCAAATGCTTCACAGAGTCTTCTTCGATATCGGCGTCTATGTCTATGTCAGCCTTGGTGTCTCCGTATCCAGGATTGGTAGGCCTCGGAGAGACATATCCTGCTTCTTCGTGCCTGTTACCTCCTATGAGCTTATGCAGGAGTCCCGAATAATCACTAACAAGCACCAGAACTAAGCAAACCACGAAAACTATCCTAACGACTATCTTGCCCGTCGACACCATAATTTTTTTAGGTCTTTCTTAGTCCTTACAGCATTTTGCGACTGATTAGATCACTTTGTTACGCGGTGATACAGTCTTGCTTGCTTACCTTGCAATTCTGCCCCCCCCTCCCGCGAGGCGACCGCGGATAGTGAAAGTTCCCAAAACGTAATGTTATTGATAGTTTTATAACACTTAGCAAAGGCGCTTAACGAAATAACGGAAGTAATTACCCAAAACTACATACGAGCACTTAAGGCATCCTCTAGACACTAACGAAGCCTTCGATTATACAAGGTACGCAAGGTAAGTGCGAGAAAATGTTTCATTAAGATTGCATTAAGCACTACTTAATTAAAAGTGCTCCTTGATTTCAGGGAGCAAAGTGTCACTTTTAATCCCCGAAATAAGCTTAATATTTCTTTAGTAATTTCAGGATACGAAATAACACTCGGTCAAACTTTTTCATCGAGATTAAAAGATGCACTTCAGTTCCTGTTTTTAGTTTCACAAAGTAAAGAGATTGATTAATTTTCAACAACCCGAATGAGAACAAAGAAAATTGAAGTGATTTTTAATACCATTTAAACTTCACTTTTAAGATTAAGACTTGCACTTTAGTGCCTCGATATGTAGTAATGTATTCCACTGCACTTTGTGGATTAAAAGTGTAGTTTTAATCATTTCAGGGAGTAAAGTGTCACTTTTAATTTATTTTAGGGTATACTTTCCAAGATTGACATTAATGTATTAAATAATTTCATGTAATTTAAATTTTAACTAGTAGTCCAAAACACTACATACAAAAATGGCGTGTGTGTCACATAATTAAAGTGCCTTTCAACCCCGTGGATTGCAATCTGCCCGCAGAGTAAAGAACGCACTTACCCTGGCGTATAATTTAAAGTGTCTTAATCCCATGGATTAACACTCAAACTTCACCTTTAGGATTAAGAGTATAACGTATTTTTTTGCACTTCAATATAGACTTTGTAATATGGCAGGTACAGGACTAAAGTGTTTTTTTAATAACCTGGATTAAAAATGCAATTTTAATTTCCTTGGTGTATAATTTAAAGTGTCTATTAATCCCATGAATCACCACTCAAGCTTTACCTTTAGGGTTAAGAGATGCACTTTAGTTTTGTGTATTTGTTGCACTATAGGTATACAGGTACAGGATTAATACGTTATTTTGTATTCTATTGATTGAATGTGTAATTTTAATTCCTGTTTCAGGGAGTAAAGTGTCAATTCCAGAAGGATTAAATTTGTTCAGCTATACTTTCCAAATTTGACATTTCTGACACATACCAAATGAATGTATGAAATAATTTACACATATTGTTTGAATTTTAATAAATTCAAGACACTTCATGCAATAGATGGAGTGTATATCAGAGATTTAAAGTGCCCCAGAATTAAATAACGCACTTTATTACCTTGATGCAAAATTTAAAGTGCCTTTTAATCCCATTAATCTCCACTCAAACGTTAGAACTTTAGTATGATACATTTCACCATTAGGACTTTAGTATTTCGCCATAAGAACTTTAGTATGATTTCACCATTAGGACTTTAATATGAAACATTTTTTTGCACTTCAATATACACTTTGCAATATAACAGCTACAGAACGTGATAGTTTTTTTTGCATTTCCTGAGTTGAAAGTGTTATTTCGGGGAGTAAAGTGTCACTTTTAATTTCCGAGGGAACAACTTTTAACTGGCAAAGTGCGTATTATATACACCAGCATACTTTATATCTCGCGAAGTAAAAAAAACTAATTCAGAAGTACTGAATAAGCACTCTAATTTATTTATGATGACGCTTTACCAAGAGAAACTAAAAACGGCACTTTAAATATTTAAAGTGCAAAATTATTTATGCAACTAATGCGAAAACTAACAAATAACACGTAAACTGGCTCAAGTGTGTTGAATATGCAGCCGCTTGATTACGTTCAATTTCAACTAACCACCTTTGCTAATGCGCTTGGTAAACACTGCCTCGGAAAGTTCTAAGATGTGACATACTTCCGTATCCTACTTCCTCATAGTCGGACAAAAGTGAAAACAACTATTACGCTTTGTTATGTCACATATGGATATAATTTATTCAGCAGATGAATACGGCTTTAGAGTTCAAATGCAAATTTTGTTAGCAGGTACATTAAGTGAATGTATGAGACAGATTATTTAAAAGCTCTTTTTGTGTTTACTTTCAGGCTGGAATCCTTTCTTTAGAGTTTGTTTTTTTGTTTCGGTTTATATAATTATTATATAATGCTATTGAAAAGGTAACCTAAAATCGGGAGTGAGAAAGAAAAACATGCCTGGGTTACTAGTGCGCGTTCTGTTTTACTTCCTAAGGTCAGGTGGTAAAGCGTCAGTTTTAGACCTCATAAATATAAAAAACAAATGAATATTCATAATTGACATTCCAAATTTTTTGTCGTAGCGCAAAACACTTTGCTCTAGAAGCAATTTGGACGTTTGGACCTCTGGACGTTTTTGACATTGAATTTAGGTATTCTAATATTTTGATAATCTTTTAATTTTTTTCCTGGACTGGCTCATTAAAATATTTGACTAAAAGAAATTTTTGTCTAGGAGCAGTCTGAAAAAATTGACGTCGACTAATTCGACCCTCCTAAATTCATTTATAAAGTCAGTAAAGCTTGACGGGAATGAGATATGTTTATTTATTTCCAAATTTTTTATCCTAGTTCGAAAACCCTTTGTTCTAAAAGCAATTTGGGGCCAATATTGAATTTCTCGCACAGGATTAGTGAATCGAAACAGATTAGTTAGTTGTGCAACCTGTTGATAACTATGAGGTTGCAGTACTATGCTCTTATAATTTTTTCTTTCGAATAACCACTAAGCTATAGAACAGAAAAAAACGACATCACGAGCGTTTTCAGCGGGTCAAAATACGTAACTCTAGACGGTTTTGGTATAGAAGTTAGGTACATACTTTAATATTTCGATAATTTTTAAAATTCTTTATATATACAGACTGTCTCCTAAAAAACGCCGCAAGCCATAACTCCGTTATTTATAGTCTGATTTTAAAAAACAAAAAATTAAATGAAATGGATCTAAATGCTCTATAGAGGGAACCCATTAGAGGTTATTTACAATTTTTTTATTTGAGAAGCGATAGTCAACTTTTTTCTTTCAAATGACAATATAGTTTTTTTGTTATTTAATATTGTGCAGTTTTACTTTCTGAATCCAACGATAATAAAATTAATTTGTGGTTTTAAATAATAAAATACAAATGCTTTATCATAATAGAAATGTTGTCTTGCTTCACCATAAATTAACATGATATCCATCAATTCCAAGTTGCTATATACGCAAGTCATTTTTGACACCAACTACTAAAAAACTTTTGTAAACACTATCGCAACGACATTGTAAAATCGGATTTCAGTATTCGGAGTCGCTGAGGCCACGTGGCTCTCCACGCGTATTGTAAATGACGCTAGAGACTACAGTTGTCCAGCTATGTAATGGTTGAAAGTACTACAACTTCATTTTTTTTTCTCGGAATCTATAAGGATTTTACAATTTTTTTTACCATATTGACTCCATTTCTCATGCCACGTCTATTCCCAAATTTTGTTGGATAAGTAGTGATTCGCCCTGTATATTTATGTATAGGGTGTTCTATAAGAACATAATCAAAAAGGTACTGAGACATTCTTTACTTCAAAAGAAGACTATTTGACCTAACATCCATTAAGAAAAAATGTCCGGCTCCTCTGCTATTGATTGTCAAAATTCTTGAAAAAAATTATGTTTTTGTAATATCTGGAGAATGTTACGATGAATTTTAATGAAACTTGCTGTGTGGTATTTATTCCTAAATAAGACTCATGTTTTGATGAAGCAACCGCGTCTATCCACCTTGGGCAAATAGTACATTCTTGAGTGTACAGGAATTACCAGAACTTTTTATTTGCTAGCTGGAATCGATTCATTTTTTGTTATTGATCTTGTAGCATTCGTAGTTTTTACGCAAAAATGTTTTCAATTTTAGACAATCATTATCACTACTACTCAAATACAACTACTACAATCGTAGTAAGCGATGATGTCATTTTATAATAAATGAATTGTCAAACTTTTGACGTTGGTCGGACGCGTTTGTCTTCGCAAAACCCTAAGACTTTGACCATGTCGGTTATCTCTCATTAGAAAACGTCATTCGAAACGAATGTGTCGGACTGTCCGACCAACGTCAAAAGTTTGACAATTTTTTTATCATCATTGCTTGTAATGAGTAGTTGTTGTACTGAGTGGTAGTGATAATGGTTGTCTAAAATTGAAAACATTTTTTGCGTAAAAACTATGAATGCTACAAGATTTTACCAAGAGCGCGAAAATCTCGAAAAAGGACTGATGCATCAATAAAAAAAATGAATTGATTCCAGAGACCAAATAAAAATTTTTGGTAATTCTTGTACAGACACTCAAGAATTTACCACTTGCCCAAGGCGGATGGGCGCGGTGGTTTCATCAAAACATGAGTCATACTTAGGAATAAGTACCACAGCATCACAATCAATAGCAGAGGAGCCAGACATTTTTTCTTAATGGAAGTTGGTCAGATCGTCTTATTTTGAGCCGAAGAATTTCGCAGTACCTATCATGTGCTTATGGGACACCCTGTATATAAGAAACATTTTTTGTCTAGGGACAGTCTGAAAATGTTCTAGATTAATTTAACCCTTTTATACTTACCTACATGTAATTTAAAAGACACCATAATTTATTTTTATATTAAATTTTTCTTTTTTTTTTCGTCCCAGGGATTTTTCTTATGAATCTATACCAAAGAAGCAATATTCGAAGATGTATTGTTCCTAGTGCTCAGGCGTTATGTTATATCGTCTGGGGCTAGGAGTATATTTTTGGTGTTGCTCACATCAGCATGGCCACAGAACAGCGCAGCACTGAAGATATTAAATTGATTTATTTCAGAAGAATTGTTATTTTGTTATTTAATCCAATACTTTGGATTGAAAATTTTATTCTGGAACGAGGGCATTTTTTGTTAATTTTCCCCTCCTTTTCCTGTCTGGA